CCATGTGGGCCCTTGACTTATCCACACCCGTGGGACCTGTTGTGCTGCACCCACGAGTGCTGAGGGAGCTGGCTGACATCCTCACGAAGCCAGTCTCCATCAGCTGTAGTAGGTCGTGGTGGTGAGAGGAGGCCCCCAGTAACTGGAGAAAAGCGAACGTTGTCCCCATCTTCAATAAAAGGGTAAAGGAACAACTTGGGGAACTGCAGGCTGGTTGGTGTCATCTTTGGTCCCTGGGAAAATCATGGATGAGCATGAACTCTTGTGCATGAGCAAGGACACAAGGGAAAAGACAGTGACTGAAAACAGTCAGTAAGGATTTACCTAGGCTAAGTCGTGTCTGACTGACTGGATAATCTTCTGTGATAAAATGACGGTATTTGTGGATGAGGATGGGAAGTAGATGTTATTGGTCTGGATGTACATAAATAAGGCTTCAATAGAACCCTGTGAGGAGAGCCGTCAGGAGCTAGGCTGGAGAAAGGCAGCTTGGAGGTATCTCCTGTGCCTCTGAGGGGGTACCAGATGCCAGGCCCTTTGCCAGTGGTGGCCACAAACAGAAACAGGGCAGTTTCCAGATGGAGAGAAGGGGCAAAGCCTCCCTGGCAGGATAACTAAGTAGTGGAACAGGCTGCCCAGAGAAGCTGTGCCATCTATGACCTGGGGGGACTCCTGCATTATTTCTAAATTACTATTCTCTTCACAGGAGCCAGCCACATCTGCCTGCAATTAAAGCTGGTTAAAAGTTAGCTTACATTAATAGCAGGATTACAGGCTGAGATGGGCAGGCTGCATACTGCACATAATGTAAAGATACCTGCCCATTACTGGCAGTTGTATTTCAGAGGATCAACTAATGCAGCTGAAGCTGAAAATAGTAATAATAAAATAAATATAATAATAATAATTAATAATAATAATAATAGGCTGGGAAATGGTGCAGTACTGTTGTGGCCAACACTGCCAACACTGGCCTCTGTTCACATTCTCAAGGGATGCCACAGACTAATTAATTTGTGTGATAGAACACTGGGATGGTAAGAGATGTTTCCCACTCCTTCATGGAGTGCAGTCAGGAGGAAAGCAGGTTATGCTGGTCCAGGTCATCTTTCAGACATGAAGGGGAATCAAGTCAATCTTCTCTTTTGTATGGCTCTAAGAAGATATGTGGCTTTTGTCCATGTAAAAGTTGTTGTAAAGATAGCTATACTGACAAACTGCAGGAAAGCAAATCTGTTTTGTGTGATTATTTCCATGCATGCTGCCTCTTGGCTAAGAAGTTCTGTATCGCTTAGCTTGCATGATCCTTTAAAATCCTATTGTAAAAAAGGTTAGGTGTATGCATGTGTGTGTGTGATGTGGGTAGCTGGTGATCATCTCTTTGGGCAGGAGCAGGTACTTGGGACACTTTAGATTGAGAAACCACATTATGCAGACCTTTGATGGGAACTTGATCGTTAATATATAGTCTAACAATCCCATGTGAAAGCCTTTTCTTAGAAGTAGTAGATCAGAATATCTCAATGGAAGTGTTACTCTTTATATGTATGCATTGGGGTTACCGTAGTATAAATGCTTTTTGGCAGAAGGCAGTATTTGGTTAAAGTTTGCTGAGTGCCACTCTCTAATTGCTGGGAAAAAAAAAAAAAAAAAAAAAAAAAATATGGGAAAAAAATAATTCCACCAAATGATTTCACATTCTGCAGAGTGCTCTGTGTCATTTGTTGGCAAGCGTAATGGAAGGAAAAATATCAGCAAACACAAAGTAGCATGGAATGATTTTTTTTTCAAGTAACAGCACCAGTTCCGAATTTTCTTCCCATATGTAGTACCAACTTAAGTGGCAGTAGACTACATAATACATTTTGTATTCATGTTGCCAGCCAGGCTGGCAAAAGCACAAAAAAGCATCTGATGTTTGAACGGGATAGTTCTGCCCAAATGATATCCCTGCCATGGGGATATAAAATAAGAGGTATCTTCTCCATCAATCTCTCATCTTTGAACATTATTCTTTACCTGAAGATGTAAATCTAGTATTTCCTTCCACCTGGCCTGGCCCATGCTGTACAGCTCAGTGCCTTGTTCATTTTTTAGTCTACACAATCTGCTGTAGGCACACAGGAGAAAGCTCCCCTTCCCTTCTTCCTCTCCATCTTAGAAGAGCCACATGCCCCCAGTTTATAAAAGAACCCACGTGCCCTCTGTCTGTTAAGTGAATGGGGAATACATATCTGTCTGCACAGGAATTTGATCCCTTCTCCGAAGAAGTCACCAGCTCTGTAGAGATGAGCTGGTTAAGACAAGCTCTTCTCCACACTCGTGCCTTGGCCAGCCCTGTGCAGCTGATCTCTCCCTATGCCTTCTGTTCGTGCTTTCTATGGAGCCTGGCACATCAGCTCCAAGCAGGGGATCAGTTTCAGTACCAAAAGCCAAAGACTTGCAGGTCTCAGACACATACTTTCAAAGCCCCTCTGGAAAAACAAACTGTAAGTGCTGTCTGTAAACTGCAGTCCAACATGTACGTCTGCACTGATGTCTGCTGAGCTCTGTGCTATGATATTGCATGCTGTCCACACTTTGTAAGAGCAAAGGAGGAAGATCAGTACTGCTCTGATATTTGTCTGATGTCAGGTTTGTTGTGTCTCTCTCTAAGGCTGTGGTACAAACCAGTTATGAAATGCAGGCTACCAGGCTGGGGGTGGCTCAGGCTGATGGCAAGTCTCAAAAACTGACATCTGAAAAATGCCAGGCAGAAGTCAGGAAAACGCAACGAAGCAAAACACAACAAAGCATTAAAAGCTACAGTACCCTGGATTCTGCAGAGTTTCAGAAAGAAAAGCTATCAACTTCAAAATTCTTACACAAAAGAGCTTCAGCCAGAGAGAAAAAGAAAAAAAAGAAAAAAAAAAAAAAAAAGAAAAAGAAAAAAGAAAAAGAAAAAAGGAAAAAGAAACAGAAAAAAAAAGAAAAAGAAAAAAAAGAAAAGAAAAAGAAAAGAAAAAGAAAAAAAAAGAAAAAAAAAAAGAAAAAAAAAAAAACCACAACCTATTCCGCCTTTTAAACTTCTTGTCTGTTGTCAGATGGAAGAGTCTCTGCCTTTATTAAAGAAAATGGCAGGTTTATTCAAAAAATGTCATTCTGAGTGCTGAATGGCAAGCTGCTGAAAAGGATTAGACTGTTGGATAAAACGCTGTCAAGTAATACTTAAGTATTTTTCAAGA